CTCGCCCCCCCCTTCCCACCCCTCTCCCCCTGTGCATGCTCTGTCTAAAATAAACAAGTAAAAATCATATTGGAAAAAAAAGCCTTTTTCAGAAAAAGTATCCCAATTTCAGATTCTCACTATTAAGCTTCTAGCAGTTGCCAAAGAATCCGAGTAATAAAAAGTTAGGTTAGCCCAAGGGGCCTAAAAACCTAAAGACCTAATTAAAATTAAGATTTTTTTTTTTTTTTTAAGATTTTTTTTACAGTCATCTTTACACCCAAGGTGGACCTCGAACTCACCCGGAGATGAAGGGTTGAGATGAAGCATGCCCCCCGCCCCCGACTGAGCCAGCGGCAGCCTTAAGATTAATTTTTACAGGATAACTTTCTGCCGCAGTTATCACCAATCATGGACCAGTGCTGTCACCAGGAAGCTTTTCTCGGGTGGCAGCCGGGGGACCAAGGACAGGGCGGTGCAGAAGCACGCAGAGAAGCACATGGCCGAGGGGGCGGGCGCTCCGCCGGCCCGGCTGCGGCTCCGGAGCGGGGGCGGGGCGGGGCTGGGACCGGGCGCCCTCTGCTGGCCACTCCGCGAACAGGCGCTGGCGGGCAGGTTAACACACCACGGAGGGCTGGACGCTGGGCTTAAATATTTTGCAGTCAGTTGTTTTTAAAAGTTAAACTTATGTGATAACTCAATTTGCAGTGAGTTTTTAGTGCAGTAAGTGCAATGCTTTTTCCGTGAAGCATTTCAAAACCAGTGAAGGTGCCTCAGATGTTGCAGAGTAAGAATTTAAGAGAGAGGGGTGCCCAGCCGGCTCAGTCCGTGGAATGAGCAACTGTTGGTCTCAGGTTGTAAGGTCAAGACCCACGTTGGGCATAGAGATTACTTAAAAATTAACTTAGGGGCACCTGGGTGGCTCAGTCGGCTAAGTGTCCGACTTCAGCTCAGGTCATGATCTCACGGTTTGTGGGTTTGAGCCCCGCGTTGGGCTCTGTGCCGACAGCTCAGAGCCTGGATCCTGCTTTGGATTCTGCGTCTCCTTCTTCTCTGCCCCTCCCCCACTTGTGCTCTGCCTCTCTCTATCAAAAATAAATGGGAAAAAAAAGCTTAAAAAAATTTTTTTAAGTATAAGAGAAAAAATAGATTAAAACCAGTTAATATAGTCATCTTTGTTTTGAAGAAGAAACTTCCATTGATAACAAAAGTAACCCTTTGGGAGGGCACAGTTTAGCCTTTTCTCTGTAGTGGGGCCAGTGTGTTGTTCTGCCACAGGGTTGCCACCAGGATGCATTTGCCAAGCGCCTGCCTTCTGTAGGGGAGGAGACGTCTTGACTCAGGAAGCCAACTTACTGTTGGACACTTCTGAGGGGGAAGTGGGGGCCGTTCTTTTGAAATTAATAGTAACAACTGTGGCTAGGGGTGCCTGGGTGGCTCAGTCGATTGAGCATCCGACTTCGGCTCAGGTCACGATCTCGCAGTCTGTGAGTTCGAGCCCCGTGTCGGGCTCTGTGCTGACAGCTCAGAGCCTGGAGCCTGCTTCGGATTCTGGGTCTCCCTCTCTCTCTGCCCCTCCCCTGCTCGTGCGCACGCTCTCTCTCTCAAAAATAAACTTTTCTAAAAATTAAAAAAATAATAACCGTGGCTAACATGGAGCTTTTCAATGTGCTAGGCGCGGTACATATAGTTATTATTCCCATTTGAGAGAGGCAGAAACTGAGGCTTATAAAGGTGAAGAACTTGTCAGAGATCACTCATCAGATGAGTGGTAGAGGTAGGATTTGGACCCAGACAAAAGGACAGGCCGGGAGTCCTCAGAACCAGTGTGCAGTGCCCAGCCCATAGCTGGGTGGCCCCTTGTGTCCCCTTGGAAGGCCAAGGCCAGGAGACCACTCCAGCAGAGGGCAAAGGGGGGCTTGGCAGAGAGGCCACTGGGGAAGCTCACGAGGGAGTACTCCTCCGCCCAAGTAGCCCGGGCCCAGTAGCCTGGGGTCCAGGGTGGAGAGATGGCTGGGAGTGGTGGGGCAGGCCTCCCCTCAGCCCCAGCCCCTGGTCTGCAGGGTGGTCACAGCTCTGGACAGCCTGGAGATCCCGGTGATGTTGCAGATGGCGTCCCCGCCCACAGGGATATTAGTTTACCTGACAAGACAAAATTTGACTTTGCGGTAGGGGGCCGCTTGGAAATGCATCACTTTTCCTGCTTCTCCCTGAGAGTATTTTTTCCCAGAAATTCACAAGGGCATTCACACCATTCCCAGGCCCGCACCTGCTCTCAAGAAAAGAACTCCTGGCGGTGGGGAGGGGTTGGATGAAGGGGGACACAGGCCCGAGGGTCCGGCTGGAGGACGAGGGAGTACCCCGAGGTGTACCACGTGGTGCCCACGGTTCACGCTGCTCTGTGGGGAGGGGGTCGGAGCGTCCTCAGCACGAGGGGAAAACTCTGTGTCTCTACCAGACGATGATGGATGTCAACTGCGCTTCTGGCGGCCACCGTTTCACTGCGCACGTGAGCCAGGCCCCGTCGTGCCGCAGCCTTCAACGTCTACAGTCAAGCTGGAAAAATACAAAGCAAGGATCCGTGTCCTCCTGTGCCCTGACCCTGGCCTCCAGCGTGGCCGCCTGCGCTCCGTGTCCAGGGATGTGTGCGAATGTGCTTTGCTCTCACTGAGCTCTGAGCCCAGCGGGGCCTCGGGAAAGCCTCCCCGGCGGCACTGGAGGCTCCCCCAGGAGAGGGGGTCTGGCTCAGCTCAGACCCTCTGCCGTCCAGCGGGCTGCTGGCAGGAGGAGCAGGATCTCCGGTGTCCAGGCCGCGCCCGTTTCAAGCCACAATTACCCGGTTCAGTTCCAGCCCGGCTTGGCCAGGCGTCCTGCGTCCCTCCACATCCCTCGTGAGCCACCGACTGCGTGGCGAGGGGGGCCAGCAGCACCACAGGAGGCCCAGGGCTCCGCCGAGGGCGAAGGGTGCCGGTCGTCCGTTCCTTGCCCCCAGGTGCACCAGTGTCCGATGTGTACCCTCCAGCAGGGAAAGACTGTCCCTCCTGCAGAGGGGCCGGGCGGCAGAGGCTTGCAGCCGGCCCTCCAGAAACAAAGCCCCGGCTGACTGTGTTTGCCAGCTTCCGAGGCGTAAATACTCACTAGAGCTGCGGAAAGACGGGTGGTTGGGCACCGTCACAGAGTGCTTCCACGGGGACGCCGCCAACAGCCTCGCGCAAGGAAAATGTGCTGGAAGGATTAGGAAGCCGTGTGTTTTGAATAGTTAGTACCTTGTTTTTAACGTAACTTACTGCCAGATTATATAATTTAGTGTTCCGTGCTGGCTGTGTCTCCTGAACGGCTGCCCCTCGCAAGCCTCTGTGTGCTCTCCCTTGTCACCTGTTTCACAGCCCCTGTTCAGGGGCAGGAACGGGGTGGGGGGGTGGGCGGCCGAGGGCCAGCAGTGAGTCCCGGTGGCAGGGGGGGTGGCGGGGGCGGGCTGCGCACGGGCTTCCAGGGGCCCGATCCCAGCCTGGCCACACAGCTGAGGAACATCCAGACCCACAGCCAAGCACAGACGTGGGCTTTTGTGTGGTTGAGCGCTCACTGGCGTGGACACTTCCAGCAGGTCATTTGAGCATTGCTTCGTCAGACGGGCTGTCACTGAACCCCCACCCCCACCCGCCCCCAGCTTAATGGCGATCCCCGTGACACTCTGAAGCCCGTGGCCCTTTTCCTTCTAAGTGCCCTCCACAGTGGTCATCACCACGTTCTCGCGAGTGTCTGCAATTGCTGCCATCTCCCTACCAGAAGCTCCAGGAGGGCCGCGTGGCCTCCCTCCCGCCCAGTGCCCAGTGGCCCCCGGGTGGCCAGCACGGACATAGGCAGAAGGGGAAGGGCCTGAGGGGGAAGGTAGAGAGAGACAAGCAAGCAAGGAGTGGGGAGAGAAAGGCAAGAGACTTCTTTCGCTTACTGGCATGTCTTTGTGCAAGACAGCCAGCCATCAGAAGTGTCCCGGGTACCCCGATTTTTCCAGCTATGAGGGCTGTAGCGGCGAGATGCTCCCGGCCGCCGCTGCCGGAGGCCTGATTAGAAATGGCTTGAAGGAGGGGCGCCTGGGTGGCGCAGTCGGTTAAGCGTCCGACTTCAGCCAGGTCGCGATCTCGCGATCTCGCGGGATCTCGTGATCTCGCGGTCCGTGAGTTCGAGCCCCGCGTCGGGCCCTGGGCTGATGGCTCGGAGCCTGGAGCCTGTTTCCGATTCTGTGTCTCCCTCTCTCTCTGCCCCTCCCCCGTTCATGCTCTGTCTCTCTCTGTCCCAAAAATAAATAAACGTTGAAAAAAAAAATTAAAAAAAAGAAAGAAATGGCTTGAAGGACAAGAGGCATCCATCCCTTCACTAGCGAGCAGCCCCGAGAGGCGCAGACTCTAGCTTGGCATCTTCAGCAGCTTGACGATGTCCTCAGAGACCCCAGTTCTTGCCCTCCTTCCGTTCTGCCTCCTTAGGGTATAAACTCTGCCCTCAGGCCAGAGACCCCTGCGGTGGCCGGGAGCCGGACACATCACCTGGATATGGTCACGTCCTCCAGAAAGGGCATCAGTTCCTTCCTCTGTGGCTCCTTTGAGGAGGCAGGAAAACTCTCCCAGAGGCCACATGTCCTGTCCTAATCCAGCCCAGCAAGGGGCCTGGAGCGACCAGAGTTTCTCCGGGACCCCTACCCACACCGGCAGCAGTGTCACCCGGGAGCTGGTTGGAAACCGGGGAGGCGGCTGGCGCTGAGGCTTAGCAAGCCCTCCACCCCGGTGGTTTCAGTGGCTGGACCATCGTGACCCACCCTTGAGGGTAACCCCTGGGCGCCCCTGCGGAGAGGCAGTGAGTGGTCAGGTGGGGCTGAGCCGTCTGCAGTGACCGGAGGTGCAGGCGAGACGCTTTGCACCCACCGCCTTTAACCAGCGCCGTGAGGCTGACCCGGCCCGGAGCCCTGCCGTGGGAGGCGGGGCGGGGCGCCCCGGCGGCTGCTGAGGGCTGGCTCTCCTTCCCACCAGCTACCAGAGATTCACCGACTGTTACAAGCGCCTCTACCAGCTGCAGCCTGAGATGACGCAACGAATCTACGACAAGTTTATCACCCAGTTGCAGACGTCTGTCCGGGTGAGTGGCAGGGAGCCCGGCAGGCAGTGCTGGTTCGGGTCCTGCAGGCAGGGGCCGTACACTCAGCCCCTGCCGGTCCCCAGTGGTCAGGCCACGGTGGCCGCCGTCCCTTCCTTCCCAAGGATGGGCACCTCCACACCCCTGCTCTTGTCCTCCTGCATCATGACTGTCTGCTGGGTCGTCTCGTCTTCGTACCTCCAGCACCTGGTGCAGGGCCTGGCACGGACAGGGCACTTAAACCGTTGAATTCAACGGAACTGCATACGACAGGGAGCCCAAGAGAGGCCGCTGCATTTAGGTCTTTCAGTGACCGTGATCCCTCTTGAGGGCTCTGTCTCCCTGCCGGCACGCGCCAGGGGGGCCCGGAAGCACCCAGACGCATCTGTGCCACCGGCACGGGGTGCGCTGGGCCTGGGGCTGCGGCACCCAGGGTGATGGGCAGGCTCTTTTCAGATGTTTTCCATCTTACACTCTCTGTTCCTCGTTACTAAAGTCCCCTGGAGAGAAGAGGGCATGTGGGTACAAAGGCACAGAACAGGAATTCGCCGGAATGTTACTGAGTCCTGTACTTTCACTGTGGGCTTGTGTGGTGTCCTTACAGCCCTTTGCTGCTCTCTCTTCAGGAGGAAATCTCCGAAATCAAAGCAGAGGGGAACCTGGAAGCCGTCTTGAATGCCTTGGACAAGATCGTGGAAGACCGCAAGGACCAGGAGGAGCCGGCCTGGTGAGAAGGTGGTCCGCGAGGCTCCCGCGGGGAGAGGCCGCCCCCCGGCATCCCGACGGGGCTTCCGCCAAGAGCTCACACGCCTGAGACTCGGGGCGCAGCCACCCGTGTGGTGCCCTCCGGGAAGGGGAGCCCCAATGCAGGCGCGGGCAGGCTGATGAAAGCCTTCCTGGGGGGACTCGTTTCAGGACCCCTCTGGCCCGCGGGGCACATAGCCGGCGGGAGGCGAAGGGCAGATTGGCGATCTTCGGGCCGGCTGGCCCCGGGCATCCGGGTGTTATTCGCTCGTCCACTTAAATGTTTAGGGAGCACCCACCACACGCCCCGAGATCAGCAGCGAACTGGACCCAAGAGACCTGCCCCCTGGGGTCGCACTCCCGGGGTGTCCCGCACAAGGTGGAGGCGCCCTTAGCTCCTGCCTCCCCCCAACCCTCCCCACCTGAACAGCACGTTAGGCCAGAGCGACGAAACACCTTTCTTGCGCTTTCCAATTTTTTTATGCTTTGTGACCGGAATACTTAAGAGAATGACATTATAGAACTGAAAAAGACATTTTTGAGGAACTTGCAGTGTCTTTCACCTGGCTGCTCACCAGACCCGCCCCCCGCCTCACTTGGGGTCTTCAGAGGCCCCGCCCCCCACTCTTGCCTCCAGGCCTGTCTTCCTCAACTTCCTCTGTTACCCAACCCTTGCTGGGGCCTTTCCTGTCATCCTGCCCCAGCCCACGCCACCCTCCAGCCCCGTGTCTGAGGGGTGGGCGCACGTGGTTCTGGGGACGGAGGCGGCCGTGGGGCCGGGTGTCGGGGGGGGGGGGGCGTGGCGTGTCGGGGAAAGGGTCACCACTCGCCCCATCCCCGTGCCCCCTGTGGCCTCGCAGGCGCCCGAGCGGGAACCCGGAGGCGGACCTGCGCAGCGCCCTGGTGCCCTACTTCCGGCAGCAGCGGGACGCCTTGCAGCGGCACGTGCGCAAACAGGAGGCGGAGAACAGGCGGCTGGCGGAGGCCGTGGTGGCCGGGCGCCAGCAGGTGCAGGAGCTCCAGCGGCGGGGCCAGGCCCGGCAGCAGGCCTGGCAGGTGAGTGCCCGGCCCTACCCTTGGGCACAGGCTCCCGGCCCAGGGGGCCACGACCTCGTGTTAGTCGGGGTGACGTGGGGTTCCCCACACAACTGCTCCCCAGTAGCTTTAAAACGTGTACATCAGGATGAGGTCTAGAGCCTTCAGCACACGTAGTACATGGGCTCTGTGCAACAACTGTGTTCTCTGAGGGCGAAGGGAATCTTTGGGAGTGGCCCACGTCCCCTGGGGCCAAGCGGGTGAGTGGGTGACCGGGCTGAGGACCCAGGGAGCGGGCACGGCCATAGAGACAACGTGGGTTTTCTTACCGGCTCGAGAGGTGGCTCCGGTCAAGGGTTGCCAGCAGGGCTTGAGCGGTGGCCACACCGTTGGGCTCCTTCCGCTGTCCGGGTGTCCAGCTCGTGTCCCCTCTCCCACCCGATGGCTCCCCTCCTGGGGTGGGCCTTCCCGCGGCGGAGGGCAGTGGGTCCCCAGATCCCTGGCTGCCGGGACCCTGAGCCCTGGAGGGCCCGCAGCAGGACAGGGCCAGAAGCTGGCCTTTTCCCTCTTGTCATCACCCCCTCCCTGGCTCCGGGGCCCCTGGGGAAGCAGGCCCCAGTGTGCTCGTGACCAGGGCCCACAGCCTGGCGCCGTGTAGGGCCACTTTGGGGCCACCCTGCTGGGTCCTCAGGCAAGGTGCTGTCCTACCATCCATCCCCCTCTGTCACCACGAGGCCGCCAGTCACTCTTCTCTCTGGGCCCTGCTCATGACCCACCTCACCCGGTGCCGCTGCGGGCCCGAGGCGTGTGTGAAGCTGGTCCCTGCCTGAGCTCAGCCTGGGCCCAGCCACTAGCACAGTCAGGTCAAGAAAGTTCCTCCACTAGAAATCGCTGATGGGGGTCAAAGGATCACAGGGACACTTTGGGGACCCTTATTCAAGATGGGCGCTGCTCTGGGGAGGCCCAGTGTCGGTGGCCATGGCGCCCAGCCTGCCGTGAACACCTGCTGAACAGGGGGGCCCCTGCTGGGTCTGTGACATGAGCCAAGACCCCCTCTGTGTTGTCCTGGGGGACATAGGCCCGGAGTCCGGCACAGCGGAGGCAGAGGGTTTGGATTTTCTCATCCGTCTGTTCCCTCCTACTGCTGCCAGGCCCTGCACAGAGAACAGAAGGAGCTGGTGGCTGTGCTGGGGGAGCCGGAGTGAGGAGGCGACGGCCGGACCAGGAGCAGAGGGCCGTCGAGGTCGAGGGCCTGGCCTCCGAGAAGCACTGGCATGGTGCCCAGTCCCTGAGTGGGGATGGAATTAGCTGGAGGATGAGGCCTGTCTGTCCTGCTTTGGGGGCTCCCCTGGGGTCCCCCCCAACACACACACACACACACACACACTTCAGATTCTTCCCTGTTTTCTTGTAACTAGGACTGTTGGGCAGCTCCAATCCCAGGAGTTGGGTCCCCGCCTGCTCCTGAGCCCCTCCCCTCCCACCCCCCCACTCGGGGAGTCTGTGTTCGTTCTCCACTGATTGCCCCCTTGCTGGCCAGCCTGAGGACCCGTGCCATGTTCTCCCCACATCCGTAAATAAACTTCCTGCACTTCCTACACTGTAATCTGTGAGGATGCTTCCTCCGCGGGGCCTCTCCCAGGCCAAGACCCCTCTTGGCTCTCAGAGCCCTGGCTGGGGTGGGGGTGGGGGGGAGGCCGTACCCGACCATCAGGTGCAGGAGGGCAGCGAAGGCCTTGTCACAGAAGGCTGGACCCCTGGGTTCCACCCCTCTTTGCTGTCTGGGTTCATTGTGAGAAAGGCTCTGTGCCTCCCCCACCTCCCCCGGGGTGTGCACACGGTGAGCATGCACGCCAGCGGGTGGGTCCTCCAAGTAGCTGGTGCTCTGCCCCCTTCCCCGGCCAGGGCTCAGCCAGGCATCAGGAGGGGCTCAGCCACGGGCAGGATGGGTGCTTCCTCTGGCCAGCGGTGAGGGGACGGGTACAGGCAGGGCCCCGGAGAGGGCCTCACCCCGGAGAGGCCAGGTGCGGTCTGTCTGGGAGCACTGGGAACACTCGGACATCAGGGTGGCCCTTGCTGGCCAACTGCTGCCCCGAATTAAGCTCAGTGGAGCCGCGGCATCCAAACACGGGGCGGTGGGGCGGGCGGGGAGCGCCTGGTCAGGTCCCCACCTGCGGTGGGCTGGGCGTGAGAACACCCTCCCTCCTCTCCAGGCTGGGCCGAGCGGGACTTGGCTCCCAGGTGTGCTGGGATGGGCCTTTTCAGGCTGGATGTCTGCCTCTTGGGAGACAGGTCCCCACAGTTGCTAACACTGGGGAGGCCGTACGGCCAGGCAGAGGGGCCTTCTCCCTGCTCCTCACTGGCTCTGCCTCCCCACGTGCCAGAGGCGCAGGGGAGAGGGTCCCCACCGCCCCAGACAGAAGAGCTGTCCTGCTCTCACTCCCGGCCCACCTCTCTTGGCTTTGGGTTCCAGTCCCGACACACGAGGCCTGAGCAGAGCCGAGCGGCTCCCACACCAGGCCTCCCCCTGGTGTCTGGCCGGGGCAGGGTGCCTCCGGGTGAACGAGGGCATCGCTGCCTTGGGCCCCTCCCTCCCTGGGGTTTGGCTCCTGCCCACAGGCCGTCAGTGGAAATCACAGTCTTAGAGCGACAGTCCAGCTCTACTTGAGTCTATTTTAGACCTCGAGCCCCCCTTTCTCCCCTCCTGCCCCTCCTACTCCACCCAGCTGGTGCTCAAACTGAGGCTGGGGGACTTGAGGTGACCCCCTTGGGGAGGGGCCAGGCCTGTCCAGAGGCTGGCGGCCCACACCCTCCTCCATCACTTCCAGGGGCCTGGCCAGGCAGCTCAGCTCCAACCACAACATCCTTTGGGGTTTGGCCTACAGAGCCGGGGCGGATGACCCCCAAATAGCCCTGGCAGACTCCCCCTGACCCACCCTCGCCTCCGGGGCGCAGCCCAGAGTATAAAATGGTGCTGGCGGGAGAGGCAGAACAGCCGAAGTCCAGCAGCAGCCCGGGCGGCCACTGACAGCCACGCCATGAGGCCCCTGACGATCCTCGCCCTGTTGGCCCTGGCCGTGCTCTGCCTCTGCCCAGCTGGCCCGGCAGGTGAGTGCCCCCACCTCTGCCCCCGCCTCCCCTCCCGCCACCCTCCCGGTCTAACCACCTCCTGCAGGCTCAGTCCCAGTGCAGGGAGAGGAGGGGGGGTGAGCAGGGGTGAACTGGGCCCTCTCCTTTGCAGATGCAAAGCCCAGCCGTGCAGAGTCAGGCCGAGGCGCAGGTACGTGGCAGGGCCTGGTGGGGGGCCGTGCCTGCGGGGCTGCCCGCCGTGCCCCCAGACCCAGAGCCATCTGACCTCTGCCTTTCTGTTCCACAGCCTTCGTGTCCAAGCAGGAGGGCAGCGAGGTGGTGAGGAGGCTCCGGCGCTACCTTGCCCCTGGGCTGGGGTGAGTGCTGGGCCGTGGCCGTGGCCGTGGATCCGGGCTGGGGTGGGGGGCGAAGGCCAGGACCCGGGTCTGCCAGGGCCGTGGACGGAGGGAGTGGGCATGTTTCTTGGAGGCTGATGCCACTCTCTTGGGCCGTCAGCGCCCCAGCCCCCTACCCGGACCCCCTGGAGCCCAAGAGGGAAATATGTGAGCTCAACCCCGACTGTGACGAGCTGGCTGACCACATCGGCTTCCAGGACGCTTACAGGCGCTTCTACGGCACGGTCTAGAGCTGGCGCGGCCCCCCCCCCCCCCCCCCCCCCGCCCCCCCCCCCCCAGGACCCCTCCCCTCCCGGCACCCTGACCTCCCTGCCCGGCACGTGTGGGGCCCCCGGCATCCCCGCTGCTCCAAAATAAACTCCAGAAGAGGAATTGGTGGGGCTGTGAGTCTCTGTCCACCCGTGGACGTCCGTGGCTTCCGTGGCGTGGGAGGGGAGGGAAGGGAAGGTGCGGGCGGGGACAGGAGTGGAGGGGCGGTGTGAGCTCTTTGGTCCCAGAAAGTGCTTCCCAAAGTCCGCTGTTGACTTATTTATTTGTACTGTACTCGCCTCATCTGGAAGCGTCGAAAGCAGCTTCCTAAAAGTCTTATTAGGATTCCCCCTCGAGCCCAGCACCCCTCCCCCCACAAGCCCCTGCACCAGCCACGACGCCCAAATTTAGACCCAAGGTCCTGGACACCTTGAGCACACGGCTGTGACCAGGACCGACAGACCACATCCCTGTGGGCAAACAGCCCGTTTGGGAGGCGAGGGCGCCAGCGGCCCTCGGCGCAACAAGCACGCGAGGCAGGCCTAGGTTAGTCGTGTTAGTGACCCCCCTGGGCTCAGCAGAGACTCGTAGGCAGGAAGGGACCAGGTGTCGGGGCCCAGCGCCTCCCCCGCCCAGCCTCCAGCCGGGGCGCTCCAGCCCCGGACGCTTGCACTGCCCCTCTCAGACCCTCAGCACTTGCCCCAGCCCCCCGAGAGCACCGTCACTGACCCCTCCTGCTCATGGCCAGCACCCCCTGCCCCCTGCCCTCCTCTCCTGTGCCCCCTCCCCTCAGTCACTCTCGGCCCCAGGCTCCGATGTGCCCCTTCTGGGCTCCTCCCCGGCATGGGTGGGGGAGGGGGGCCTGGCCTCTGCCTTTCCCCGGGGCAGGCTCACTGCTGTTTGGCCTTCATTCCCCCCTCCGGCGGGCCACCCTGCAGCAGGGGGCACGTGCTGGGGGCCCGAAATAGGGAGGTCGTGAAGGCGGCAATGATGAGCAGGTTCCCGGCCACCGCCAGGCCCAGCGTGGCCAGCGTGCCCACCAGGCCCAAGGGGGGCTCCTGCGCGGCCAGCCAGGCGCGGCGAGACCCCATGTCAGCCAGCACCGCCTCCAGCTGGAAGTGGGTGCCCAGCACCGCGCAGATGTGGAACAGCTGGTGGCTGTGGCCTGCGGGGAGGGTGGGGCAGGTCAGGGCACACGGCCCATTCCCAGGGCGGCCCGGACTCACCCTGGGACCCGTCACCTCGTCCTCCGGGCCTGCTGCTCCCCCAAAGTGGGAATGTGAAAACCTTCACGAAGCAGTGAACGGGCTGGTCTGCACGAGGCCCCTCGTGTCCTTGCTACCGGGGTCACCTGAGGGGGAGGGGAGCGCCGGGACCAGGGCCCCTTCCAGGAGCACTCCTCCGTCCCTCGCCCCTCGGTTCGATCCCTCGGTCCCCGCGCCCCTCCCGGGGCGGCTGCCCCTCTCACCGATGTAGTCGAAGCGCCCGGGGGCCAGCCGCTCGGGCAGGTGCGAGGCGAAAAGGAAGCCGGTGAGCAGCGCGCAGAGCAGGTGGTAGGTGTGGCTGGAGCTCAGCGCCTCCCGCCCGCAGCTGTGGCCCGGGTCCCAGCACAGGCCAAGCTGGCAAAGGGAGAGCGGAGCTGGTGGGGACGGCCTTGGGGAGGGGCTCCGGGGAGGTCCGAGCCCCAGGCCCCCTTACCCGGTAGAACAGAGGCAGGTTGTCGAACAGAAAGGGGTAGGCGAAGGCGGCCGTGCGGAGGATCTTACTGAGCCGCGGGCTTTCCAGCTCGGGGAACCTGGGGGGCGGGACGGAGAGAGAGGCGGTCGCCATCCTTTCTCCGGGCGGGGGCGGGGGTGGCGGTCACAGAGGGACAGGGGGCCTTTGGCCAGGATGGAATGTCAGTGCTGTTAGGGCACGTGACCCCTCTGGAAACGGCCACACCTGTGAGGGGGGGCGGGGGTACGGACGCCTGCCTCCTCTGGCGGGGTAGCGAGAATTCGAGGGGGCGGCGCAGGCGCGGCGCTGGCGAGGGGTGCGCCCCGCCCCCCCTCCGTGGCATCCTCAGCAAGCACAGGCCCTGTTACTCATGTCGGCCACCCCGAGGCGCGGGTACCCCGTCGCTCGCCCCCGGTGTGTTCGGGGTGCCCTGTCCCGTCCCTCCGCCTTCCCCTTCCGCACCGGCCGAGAACCCACCGGGAGTAGCAGGAGAGGCCGGTGCACAGGAAGGAATTGAGCGCGGCGGCGGGCACAAAGAGCTGGTGCAGGCGGCTGTGCAGCCAGGAGGCCGGCATGGAGTAGGCGGCGTAGGGGAAGGCGCAGCCTGGGGAGGAGGGGGAGGGGGAGGGGCGGGAGCTGAGGCCCGAAGGGGGGGCCCCCCGCCGCGCCCCGGGAGCGCCGCCCCCGCCCCCGCCCCCGGAGCGACCCCGGCCCGGCGGGGCTCACCCAGGCTGTAGAGGCTGAGCGCGCCGTAGTCCAGGAAGTAGCAGATGTGGCGCGCGCGCGGCGACATGGAGCTGAAGGTGTGCGCGCAGCACGACGCGAAGGGGTAGAGGCAGGCGGGCAGCAGGAAGACGAGCAGCGGCCGGTGGTAGGGCTCCGCGCGGAAGCCCGGGCCCCCCGCCAGCGCCAGCAGGCGCCACAGGAAGTACCTGCGGGGCAGGTGCTCAGGCCGCCGCCCGGCCCGCCGGCCCGCCCGCCCCGCACCCCCTCGGGCCACCCCTCACCAGGTGGGCAGGAAATGAGTCCAGATGTTGACCGTCTCGTTGGTCATCTGGAAGGAGCTGAGGACACAGTCCCGGGCGGAGCTGCTGGGGCGGCGGTACCCTGACATGATGCCGTCTTCCCAGAACACCTGTGCGGTGGCGGGTGGGACAGAGGGGCGTCATTGTGTCCGACCCTTTCTCTCGCCGAGAGCTCTCGGAAGCAGCGTTCGAGAGAATGGGCTGGAGGTCGCAAAGGCCTCAAAGCCAAACCGACCGTCCCCCATCTCACCACGGGCAGATACCCAGAAAGCAGATGAGAAACAGTAGAGCGGGCGGAGGGGACCAGATAGGAGGGGGCGGGAGGGGGGCGGCACAGACTGGGCGCCCTGAGGAAGGAGGGGATTCCGGAGGGAGGAGCGTCCTGGGCTCCGGGAGGGGTTGCCAGCCAGGTCCTCAGCAGGGGGACGGCAGGGACGAGCCGGCCAGCAGGAAGGACTTCCCCAGCGGCTCAAAGAGAAGAGCTTCTGCCCCAGTCGGCACTGGGGAGGGGGAGTCGATGGGTCGAGCCCCTCACCCGAGGGACCTGGTGGATGCGAAGGAGTTGGGGCAGCTTGAGACTGAGCATGGTGACCCGGCACCTCCACGCTGACCTGGAGACAAAGTGCGGGGTGAGGGGGGATCAGGTCTCCGCATCCGCGGGCCCCTCTCACCCAGATCCAGGCCGGGCCTGGTCACCGGGCCCCGGGGTGGGCTGTGGGCACCTACGTGCGTGCGGGTGGGAGCTGGCCACTGAGCTGCTTCCCGCAGGCCCGGGAGGGGCGGCGGCCCCGCTTCCCCGACTCTCCATCCCAGCCGGGAGCGCTCGGTTCCCCAGAGGGGCTGCTCAGCCTCAGCCCAGGACAGGCGAGCGCAGGATCCTCCCCATTTGGAAGGCTGCCTCGGTGAGTGGCCCGAGACCCTGGACCTAGGCCCCCCGCCCCCAGTTTTTTTGTCCCCGGAGAACCCTGACTCGTGGAGGTCAGCGCAGGGAGGGCCCCGGCACCCCCGTGCCACCATCAGAAAGTCCCTCGGCCCGCAGAGCCTGGCTGAACAGAGGAAACTTATGACGCTGGCGGAGAATTCCTGGAGAGGCCAGATGGCCGCGGGAGGGGCGAGGAACCGGGATGCCCGGCTCTCCTCTAAACACGACGCTCGTACCCCGGGGTCCCCGACCCTCCTGAGCCCCGTACCCCTCGGCTCCAGACCTGCGCGCCGCCTCCGGGTGGCCGCGGCTCTGCCGCCCCGCCGGCCTCTCCCAGGCACATTCCTTGGCACCGGCGGAGGGGCTGGGCCAGCCGGGCGGGTGGAGCCGCCCCGGGGGAGAGAGAGTAAGACCCTCCCTCCCCAGGCCCCAACTTCCCTGCAACAATACGGCCCAGCCCCGCCCGTCTTCCTGCCGCCAGCCGGGCCAGGCTGTGTCTGCGCCGCGCGCGCGCTCCGGACCCCGGCGCTGCTGGGTCCCCGCCCCCCCCCCCCAGCCTCCCCCGCTGCCAGGCCCTCTGCCCCTGAGCCGGGTGCCGGGTCTCCGATCCCCGTGCCCTGGCCGAGCTTTTAGGTGAGGCCCCCGAGGGCACCCCCGCGCCCCCAGGAGTGGGATGGGGGTGGTGTGGCCTATCCTGCGCGCCGCCCACCTCCCCACCTCCCCCGGGGGGACGGGTGGCAGCGAACACGGAACACGCCGGGGCCTAGGTCCCCGCAGAGTCCCTGTCCCCCTTTGCGGGAGGGCCTAGGGTCTCTGGAGTAGTTTGTGCCGGAGGCGTGGAGACAGAGGAGGGGCGGGAGCAGTCGCCCTAGCTCCGGTCCCCAGAACGGGTGTCACAGCCTCAGGGGAGCGTCCTTACCCAGAGCTCGGGGGGAGGGAGCGCTCCCAAGCCTGTGGGTCCACGGGCCCAGGGCCGCTCCGGCAGAGTCCCAGGCTCCGCCAGCCAGGCTGCCGCGAGGGAGAGTGGCAGGCGGGCCAGGCCTGGGCGGCGAGTGAAACAAAAGGGAGCCAGGGAACAATCCCAGCCTTGTCCGGCCCCCAGGGAGCAGCTCGGGGAGGGGGGGGGGGGAGCGCCCCATTAGCAGGCAGCTCACTCGGCCTCCTGCACACAGCCAGCCCCTCCAGCTCGACCCAAGCCCACTGAGACCAGAGCGGCCACAACCGTCTGGAGCCCCAGTCGGGACCCCAGCCGGGACCCCGCCAGGGCGACGCGATCTTCTCAGACCAGGCTGCACCGGGTGCCAGGTCCTCCCAGGAGCAGGTGGCTCTGCCTGAGGCCTGAGGCCAGGCACCGGAACCCCACACCTGATTTGTGACTTCAGAGAGCACCTCTCAGCAGCCGGGGCCGGGCAGAGACCAGAGCAAAGGCCTTTACCGAACGCTGGTTCAAGCACAAGGGAACCACCCGCCGTGTTCACTCCCCAGACACACACTGACGTGCCTGTCCCTGCAGAGGGTCGGGGACTGAGGGCCCGGAGGTTGCTCTCCAGGCTCGCCGCCACGTCCCCCTTGAGGAAGAGCATGCGTCTGACTTAGAAGGGCCAGCAAAGTGCCCCGGGGGGGCTCACTGGTTTTCACGCAGCCAGCACCCCAGCAAAGGCGCCAGCTCAGCTCACGGGGCCAACCAACCGGACGGCGTCCTTCACAAGAGCATCTCCGGAGCTTTCTCCTGAGTTGCCGGCATCTTGAAAAGCCGCTTCAGCAAGAAACCTCCAACATCCCAATACAACCGTGCAGAACGGGGGTGCCTGGGTGGCTCAGTCAGTTAAGCCACGGATTTTGGCTCAGGTCGTGATCTCGCCATTTGTGAGTTCAAGCCTCACGGGGGGCTCTGTGCTGACAGCTCAGAGCCTAGAGCCTGCTTCGGAGTCTGTGTCTCCCTCTCTCTGCCCCCCCCCCCACTCTCTCTCAAAAATAAAAAATATGTATTTAAATTAAAAGAAAGTGTACAGAATGGCACCAGGAGACAGGGAGTGGGCTTCGAGGGGTCTTTATTAAGTGATGCCTTAGTCTCAGTCTCTGTCAGGGACTGGGAATGGGGGTGACCCCACTCCCCCTGGTTGTCCCAGACACGCGGTCTTAGAGGAAGGAGACGAGAAACCCACTTTCCTCTGAGAACAGCCTGGGAGGCGAGGCTAGTGCTGGGGGAGGCGGCAACAGAGCCAAGACCCAGGCCCCCTTGGCCAGCCCCAGGGAAAGGGACCCTAGGGGGTCCCGGCCGGGGCCCCCCCACAACCTGCACTCGATGCTCCGCCCACCGCCCTGAGCTCTTCATGATCTCAGCTCCCACTTCACCTGCCACTGGCCCCGAGAGCCCCGGCTCAGCCCCTCCAGGACAGCAGGCCCCTGACCGGGCAGCTTTAAGGGCCTCGACAGTAAGGGGGCCGGCGGCCTCACACCGCACCCCCTCCTCGTACTGGCATCCCACTCGGCCCCGCATACGCCCACTGGGCGGGTGGGCCCAGGAGCCCTCACTGGCACACAGGCCTGCTCCCTGCCCTGGAACCGGACAGATGGAGAGAAAGCAGACGCGGGGCAACCGGGTGGGCGGGCCCCTGCGGCGGCAGGAGGGGCGCAAGCCCTGGCTCTGCTAACGGTGCGGGCAGCCCCAGGCCCCTCTTCTCGAAGAGTCCCCAAGGCTCCAGAGCTGCCCAGCCTGCGCAGAGGGAGAACGGGAGGTCCTTGAGGAGGAAAGGGTCCACACAGAACCAGTCAGATGTCTGGTGTTACCCAATTCTTCCCCCAGTGCCGGAGGGTCCGCCCCGGCCCCGACCGCCCTGCACCGTGAGGAAGAGGGGCCCTGCCGCCCCTCCCCCTCGGAGGTCCACAGACCGCTCCCGTGGAACACAGACGCCCGTGCCTGCCGCCTGCCCCCGGGGACAGCAGGGGGCCGAGGCAGAAGGGCGGGCTGGGGGCCCACAGGCCTCTCCTGCTCCAAGCACTTCCCTTGCTTTCCTGACGTCTTGACAAGGGGACCCGCCCTCCCAGCCGGCTCCGGGCCCTCCCTGCGGCTCCCGGGCCCTCCCTGCGGCCTCCTTTCTGCGTTCGTGCGTGAGTGAAGTCTGCGTGTGGTGGGGTGACTACAGGTGGCGGTCCTGGCTGCCAGGGAGGGCAGGAGAGATCTGGAGTCAGCCCCACTGCAGGGCCTGGGGGTCCATCTCAACCAATCTCCTTCCACTGCTTGTAGAAATCCAGAACATTCTTGATGTCCACACTGGCGTGTGCAGCGGCCTGCAGGGCTGCCTGAGAAATGGGAGGGGGGCTGATGGTGGGGGCCTGACCTCCTGAACTCCAGGACCATTCGCAGGGTGGGGGGAGGGGCAGCAGAAGAGGAAACAGTACCCGTACAGAGTAGTCGGGGGGGGGGGGGTTTCCACTCTGGCACCCCTTCCCCGTTCACCCCCGCCCCCCAGCTCCCCCTGTGACCCACCTGCATAGGGCCTGACAGCGCACTGGGGTCATCCAGTGGGAGGCCCGTGACAATGGTCACCATGCCGCTTGGATCCTCCTCACCTGCCCCCTGGGCCAGGGTCAGCTGTTTGCAGCTGTCCAGGATCTTATAGAGGGTCCTGGTAGGAGGAGGAGGAAGAGGGCCGAGCCCCGCATTAGAACCTGGACTCCAGGATCACCAGGGCACGGGGGAAGCTGGGGACAGGGAGGGCAACAGGCAGTCAGGGGCAGTGTTTCTGGAAGGGGATGCTAGACGGTGTCCAGCGGGCCCACGTACACTGAGCAAGGACACCAAGACTCTCAGGGCGACGGGGGCGTCTGGGGCTGCAACTTCTTACTCCCTCTGAGGGGACATGAACAGGTGGCCCTGGGCTGGCCCTGCTCAGAGAGCAGCGAGGCAGCGGCGACCTGAGGCCCAGGAGCGCCGGGCTGACGTCTTACCAGGCATCCGCATCCTGCCTCTTCAGCTTGTGCCTCTCGAAGCTCTTTCCCACCTCTTTCTGGCAGCGAATATACCTGGGAAGGAGGCGGCAGAGGGAGGTGGGGGGTCAGAGGAGAGGGCGGGCGCCTCACACAAAGCACCTCATTGTGGCCCCGGGAGGGGGAGGGGCGCCTCCCTCCCTTCGCAGCTCTGTTCGGAGCCATTTCAAAGTGGCTTCCCGGCGGCTGAGCCCAGCTTGCTTTTCCTCCCGATAACACGGAGCGTTTGGTTCCTCCCAGGGGAGGAGCTGGAAGAGGAGAAGCGGCGGATGCTTTTCAAGTCAGGGCTTCTGGAGACCAGGCCCAGACAAGCGGGCTTTGTGCAGCTTCCTGGGCAGGCAGAGGCAGAGGCAGAGGCGTAGGCGGAGGCGGAGGCGGAGGTGGAGGCAGAGGCGGGGGAGCAGGGGCCGGCCTCTCCCTCTTCCGCACCCGCCAATCTTCTGGCCCCAAAGCCCAGAGAGAAGGGCCCGCACTGGACAGAGCGCCGACCCACTGCCACCTGCTCGTCCCTGCACGGCTCCGGCGGGATGTGCGCGGGCCAGAGGAGGCGCTCCCAGTCCGGGAAACTCTGCCACCGGCCCGAGCCTAGAGCAGGAGCGACTCCTGCAGAGGAGCCCGCGGCCTGCGGTCAGAGGTCTGCCCCCATCTCCCTGGTGATGCTCTCTCCCGGCTGCCCCAGAGGCAGACACACTGCAGGTCAGAACGCCCCACGGGGCTCCAGGCCCACCGACCACCCTCCATCCAGTCTCCGGCCTGCCTTCCCGCACAGTGAGCAGGATTACAAGCGTGTGTCTCACCCAAGGGAGCGAGAGCAAACATGCGTCTGTCGACTGGGAGACCGACACGGGGCTTAGGAGTCACCCTGCCGAGGCCCCACTCACCTGTTTCCTTTTTTAAACTCTGCCTCCAGGTATCGGATCCCATCCCGGGCCCCTGGGTGTTCCTTCTTCAGCAAATCCAAGCCGTCGATCACTGGTGGGGGAGGTGGAGGTGGGGAAGGACAAAACACATGAGCCCGTGCCTTGGTGGCGTGGGGCCCTGCAGGAGGCCATCTGAGCCCGTTCCAGCACGTGCTGCAGGAAAAGCGGGGACTGTGGCTCCTATGGGGCTCCCGAGGCCTTTCAGAGTACAACCTGCGCGCGATGTACCTAGCGATTTACCAAGTGCGTTCACCTAGACTTTTCCGTTTCTCCCAACTGTCTCATAAGTCAGAGTTAAATAGAGATTGTCACACACACTTCACAGCTGAAGAAGACTGAGCTTTAGAAAGGTGGCAGGACTTGACTGAGGCCGCCGTGTGTAACCTGGGCCCCCATGAGGGTCTCTCAATTGTAAACCCAAAGCCTCTCGTGGCCACACTCTGTCCCCCCACCTGCCCAGTTTGCCTACCTGTCCTCGGGATGATGACAATGAAGCGGCCACTGGTGGCCAGCTGGCGGATAACCGGGAGGTGGTGGCAGAGGGCCTGGGTGTCGGGGACGAGGTAGGGAGACATCGCCGACTGGGCCTTGGGCTGCTGCAGGCTCCCTTCTAGCTGAGAGACCTCGAGCTGGGGAGAGAGGCAGAGTGTGGGGCTGCGTGGGCCTGCAGCCTGGGGCAGGCAGGGGGAAATGGAACCCAAGAGGGTTCTTGTGTGGACGGGGGACTCCTTGTACCAAGGGCCTTGGAGAAAAAGGAGACAGAAAGAAGGGTAAGGGAAAGAGAAAGACCAGGAACAGACCAATGAAGGCCGAAAGGGCATTAAGCCTCAGTGAGGAAATGAGAAAGGGAAGGTGGTCTGAGAGGTGATCTGGGTCAAAGTAAAGGCCACTATGGAATGGGGAGGCAGAACAAAGCAGGATGGGGGTGGGAGGCATGGATCAGAGCAGGGGTGGGGGTGGGGGGGACAGCAGGACGGGGTGGGGGGCGACAGGAGGACGGGGTGGGGGTGGGGGTGGGGGGGACAGGAGGACGGGGCAGGAGCACCCGAGCCCTGACCACTCACCTGGAGTCGTAGCTGGGCCATGTCCCGCATCAACCTGTTCCGACGTGCTTCCTCCTGAGCCTACGAGGCAAAACACCACATGCTAAGCTCGGGGCCAAGAGCTGGGCCCATAACCCTTTCCGCAGCCATCGAGAGGTTTAAGAGATCATCCAAGAGGCACTGCCAGGGTCGGAAGCGGGTGGGGCCTCATACAGAGTCCGCTCTCGCTCCGGGTGGTGAGGGAAAGGGAGGCTTGGGAGAAAATCGGTTTCTCCGGCAGGCAACTTGTGAGCAGACACCCCGGGAGGGAGCAGGACGGCGGCCGGCTGCACGGGACTGTTCATCTCTGCTCCGCCCGACCCTCCCTCCGGGGCTGCCTCCATCACCGCCCACCTGCCAACTTCCCCAAAGCACCAGCTCCAGCCCAGACGGCCCCTTCCTCTCCTCACAACCTGCCGCCCCCCAGCTAGGTAACGGGCCACCGCCTACCCAAGTCAGGAGGCTGAGCTGGCCGTGACTGTTCCTTCCCTGTCTCAGCTCTTGAAGTCACCGCTTTCCAGTCCGGTGACCGCACCTCCTTCGTCACCCCTGCACGACCGCGGTCTAGGCCGGTTCCTCCCGCCCTGCCGAGCACAGCCTCACTGGTCCCCGCCTGCACCCCAATCCACTTTCCCTGCCTACAACCAGGCAGGGAATGCTGCCGACGCCGTCTGGTGCCCACCGTGGTCCTGACTAAAACCCTCTGATGGCTTTCCTTGGTCTTCCGGAGGATGTCCCAATTCCTTACTGGGGTCTAGAAGATGAGGTTAAGGATGGAGACTTATCCTTA